GAACCTTGTGGTTCCATTGGGCTCACCTATGTAACCCAGGATCATCTCCCTAGCTGATTAGCTCCTGACTTCATGTCAACCTTAATTCCCCTTTGCTATGTAAGGTAATATATTTATAGGTTCCAAGAATTATAAACATCTTGGGGGAGGGAGCATTTCTACCCTAAATGCAATAATTGTATACATTAGGATTCTTTCAGTTGCAAGAAGCAAGATCTAACTCAAGCTAATAAAAAAAAAAAAGGATTTTTCTGGTGTATGTACTTAGAAGGAAAATATGACTGGCCTCAGGCACAGCTAGATCCCCATGTCCTACAGGGTCCCTGAGGCACTCTGTCTCTTGGCTTGACTTTCTTTGTGGTGGTTCGACTTTCGAATCCAGGTTGTCTGCGTGGTGGCTAAGGTGGCTCTCAAGCAATTTCAGGTTTCTGTAGTTCTTATGACTCGAGATCCCAGAAAGGAAATTATGGTTTCATTTTTTTAGGTTGTACCAGCAAAATCCTGAAGATGACTCTTATTGGCCTAATCGGGTCATATGTACACCCTCAGACCAATCGCTGTCCAGGGAAAGGCAATACATACTTCATTTCTAGAGCAGAGATGAACCTTACCCCAGAGCACACGTGCTGAGTTGGGGAGGGAAGGGTTGCCATTAACCAAAATAAAGGGATGGAAAGAGCTGAGGAAACAAAAACCACCAGCGTCCACTCCATCTTAGTGCTGTCCTTTGTGCCATCTTATCGCTGGATTTCAGGACCATGCAAATGATATAGTATTCCAGTTCAGAGCTCATTTGGCTTCAAGCAACGAGACACTCCAACTTAAAAAAGAGTACAGAAGGGGGCTCACCCAGGGCGTGCAAGTTGTAAGTTAATTCAGGTAGTTTGTAAGAAGAATTGCATGAGTTTTAGAACCAGACTGCTTAGGTCTGTATCCAATTTATTGGTTGCATTTACTTGACTTCTCTGTGCCTCAGTTTCCTCACCTGCAAAATGGGGTTAATAATAGCACCCACCTAATGAGCGTGTTGTGAGGTTAAGTGTGTTAATACAAGTAAAGTGCTTAGAATAGTACTTTGACATAAACAGACAATAAATAATAGCTTTAATTATTATTATTGTTGTTATTATGTTACTATTGTTATCACAAATAAACTTCCTGAGGGTGACTTAGAGACTTGGAAAGTGGTTAAGAACCAAGTCAGATACTTACTTGGTTTCTCTTTTTCTAACTGGGGCTACGTAGTCTCTTAGGTTTGGAACTTTCTCCCTCACACCTCAGGGAACTGAGGTTCTCTCCTGTGATGTGGATTTTCACATGGCTTTCAGCTGTCATCCTTTTACCTCTGGCCTTTACTTTACATGTCTATCATCCAATGAATGCTGGGTCAGTGTCTCAGAGTTCAGAGTCTTGAGAGAATCTGATTAGTCTGGCCCATTTATTGCCTTTATAGAAGAATGTACCCTGTTTGATTAGCTGTGACTAACCAGGTGAGCTTGTACACAGGGTAATCTCTCTCAGTAGGCATGGAAGGGGCAGCTTCAAATGAAGCAGAAAGTTGGGCTAAAACGGAAAATTGACCATCTTGTCATTTACATGTATGCCATAGCAAGTTAGAATTTTCCTACAGAACAAAAGCATCAGTTTCAAAACTCAATGGTGATAGCTGGATATTCGGGAATAGGATAGCAGAGGACTTCTTTGTTCTGATATGATGTAGCCTGTAGTATTTGTAGAGAAAAATTGATCATTCTATTGTTATTATAAATGGCAGAGACATTTTCAACACTAATTAGAAATGCTTCTTGAATGAACAAAAACCCCATAGCATTGCTCTCAGAACCTCGTTCGTGGAGCAGAATTTCCTGAGAAGGTGGAATGTTTACATTTACTATCAGGAGAATGGATTCCGCAGTGACTGGGGATGTCTCCAGAAATCTTCCCTATTGGCTTTTTGTTCACTGTGTCCCTTCTCACTTGTCAGAGCCCCTGTATTTTTTTCCGCCTTCTCCATCCAGGGTACTCTCCCCGTGCAGAAGGTTCTGCCTTCAGAACACCTGTCCTTTTCTCTAAGGACTTTAGTAAGAATCTTTCTGGTCAAGTAGTTCCACGGTGATGGGGAGGAAGGAGGAGTACTGAGAATTTCCGAGCTCTGAGGCACTGCAGGAAGGGTGGGAAATGCTTTGGATCCGGGCTGGGCATCTTAGGAAGCACTGAGATTTGGGAGAAGACAAAGCATTGTTAAGATTTTGATAGAAGTCTGCTGGGAAAGTCTTCACCGCAAAGGCTCCTGTGTCCCTTTCTAGTTGAACAATTCACAGGCTCCACACTTGCTTTCAAATGAATTGGTTTTGAAGCAGTCAACAAAAAAGCATCCTGCTGCCAGGGCCAACCATCAAAAAGAGAAAAGAGAGCAATGCAAACCGTGGGGGAATGTGCGCGAGAGAAAGATTGCAGAGCAGAAACGAGTCTCCGCTGGCCTGATACCATGTGCATTATCTCCCCCAAAGGACCCCGTGGTTTAATGGATGGGGCTTTAACCTACCCAGAGGTCAGTCTCTGCTGGACAAGTGGAACCTCATCCCTGAGGGCATCGACATTCTCATGACACACGGACCTCCTCTGGGTAAGTGAAGCGAAGGTTGTCCTTTTGTCATACGAGATGCCTTTCCACCCAAGCATAATAAATAAATGCTTCAGGAACTTAATAATTTTTCTTTAAACAAAAGAAGAATACAAAAAGAAAAGTGTCATTGTCTTTAAAGAAACCCAGTATGATAATTAAACTCAGCAGTTCTGCTGGGCTTACAGGTGTTCTTAAAATTAATTTTTTTGATTTAGTCAAGTCAGGGAAAATCAAATGAGTACGGAACATCACAGTCTTTTGGGCTTGATAATTTATTTTAAGAACTGAATCACTTTGGAGTAAGGGTCGTGGTCGGGAATGGAAGTCCCAATCACGGGGCTTTTGCATGGCAGTGAAATGATGGAAACTTGTTCAAAGGAGTTCATTTTCCTTTACCATATAGTAGTGGAACCTGGGAGATCTTTAAAGTTTAACATTTGTACTGATTATGTGAGAAAAGAATCCTTTTTTTCTCCTAAGATGTTAAATAAGGACTTATATTGAATGTTACTTAAAGATACTTATCCTGTAGATACATTGAGAGTTTGCATCCAATTTTGGATTGCCAGTATGCTTCAGAGCTACTTTTAGTTACCCAGATTATGGGTCAAATGATTATTTGACTTATATAATTATCTTCTAATTATTCATGAGCTTTTTAGCGATTTGGCTTGGCCACAGAACATTTTCTAAACATGACTACCACCTTGATCCCCCATCTACTCAGTATCTATTATGCCAGGGCACTCCCTTATCAAACTAAGGTGTGGTCAGGAAGTTCAAATGTTTCACTTTTAGTAGGAGTTTTCTTTCTCTCTCTTTTTTACATTGTGGTAAAAAAAAAAAAAAAAATCTACCCTATTAACAAATTTTTTAAAGTACAGAAAAGTTTTCTTGAGCCTCTTGATTTGGAGAGGGGGGAAAACACTTAATACAAAAATAGATGATTTTCACAATTTTTTTTTCTGTGGTTTGGGGTAGTTATCCATGTCACTTTCCTCCTCTGTCTAACACGCATCCCCTAATGTGAATTTAATCTTTGTAGTTATTTTCCCCTCCAAGAGACTAAGTGCCACCTTCTTGCCCTCAAGAGGGAAGTGCTCTGTGTTTCACATACAGCAGAAGGGAGGACCCGGGCATGCGCCATGGTGACACATTTTAATGCGAAGAGAGAGAAAGAGAAGGGGAGCCCATTCTGTTGCAGACAGGGAGATTGCATACATTCACAAAAGACCGGCACTTCCTGACTTTTTCAATGCTCCAGAATCACCACCCTCATGCTTTTTTCCCTACCCCACACCACCCTATCTGATATTTTAAAAGATGATACTTATCAACAATTTCTATCAGGTCATAATTAATTTCCCTAGTTTTCAATCATTAGAGACTGGTCCTTAAATTGCTAGCTAAATATTCTGATCAGCAGAGTTACCCAGTGAGAGCCTCCAGAGTTGGCATCCCAGGCAACTCGATGCTTTCCCTCAGCAGCCTGGTCGGGTACAGTCATGTTTACTGCCAGGGACTTGGGCGTCCACTGCGTAGAAACATTTACATGCCTGAAGTATTATTTGGAATACAACTTTGGACAGATTGGTTGATATACAGACTTCATCAAGTCATTAATTTGGGTATAAAAGCAAGTGGCAGAAATAGTAAGTCAGAATTCTAGCCTCCAAAGAATTCAGACATCCCAGGAACTTTTACTAGGGAGGCTATCATCTCTCTCTTTGTAGTAAAGACGGAGTAGTCCAGAGAGTGGCTGTGCATAGTGCAGAATGAGATCTACATCAACGAGTTCCAAAATAAAAGGTCGGGCAAAGTTTTCATAAAGTAAAACTGAACCTGAATCAGTACAGTTATTAGGATTCTTATGAAGATGCTGGATTAGGAGGTCGGGGTGGGGATGGAGATCAGCCTTGAATTTTCTCCTGCTGGGAAGGGAAGCCATCACACCATGAGACTTTATCATATGGTACGGGCAAGATGCTTTCTCAGCTGATTGTATATGGAATGAGATATTTTACCCCTTGGAGAAAAGCACATCCATGAAGGAATATGCCACTCACTGTGAATGAAGGACTTTTTTCCCCTCTAACTAACAAAATTTTAAAAACCCTGGTTGGATTTTTTAGGGCCCCCATTTTCATCTGACTCTCTGGCCACGTCCCTCCCACACCCCAGGTAATATGTCTTTACAAAGATGCTAAATCTTCATTTCTACAGTTTCGCCAAAGTGGAATAAACTTGTCTGTCCTTTGCTGCCTGATCATTTCTAAATAGTAGAGCTCACCTAATGGAGCTATGGAATGGATTCCCACTGGTTATGATTTAGCCTTTCGTCCCACCTGCCTTCTTTATACCTCATCCTGCTGAGGTGTATGGATTTCATTTCAGACCATAATCATTCAGAGAGCTGACTTTTGCTATAATTGATGTCAGTTTTTATGGATTTTCTGCATTAAGTGTAGAACTAAGTGGCTTTTACATAAAGGTAGTCAATTAGCCCCAGCTTGCTGCATGCCACCATGAGGTCGCCACCATTGCTTGTCGCTAGAGAGGAGACGGGAGGGGGAACTTGGTGTCCCCAAGCTTTGGTCAGCAAGAACCGCTGAAGGTTAAGAGTTGATATAGCCAAAGCAAGCAAGGTATCTTGTGGCCAGTTTGCAGACAGCCCCTCCTAAACCTTCTCTGAAGGTTTATATCTTTATATCATCTATCTTTTATTATAAGAAAGATATAATTTTTTAAAAAAGAAAGTAACTGAATTGAGAGAGAAAGAGATATTATGGGACTGCCGGGAATAAATGTCACTGGGCCCATGAAGAAGATTTGAAACCTGTAGCTGAATAAATCAAATCCCTTACAGAAAAAAAAAAAAAAAATGTTAATTAACAGGAAGAAAAAAAATGGAAACCAAAAAAAATTTTTTTCAGGAACCTAAAGAAGACAAAGTGACGAGTGAAAAGTTCCTTAAAAGCCATTGTAAGGTTTAATGGAGAAGCTAAGATTACAGATAATGTAATAAACCTTCTGTGAGTTATGGCTTCCTGAAAGTCTAAATGAAACCTTACCTGAAGAAAGAAAATTAAGAGTATTGATTGCATTTTGCCCTTAGGTTTTCGAGACTGGGTTCCAAAGGAGCTTCAAAGAGTGGGCTGCGTAGAGCTTTTAAATACAGTCCAGAGACGAGTCCGGCCCAAGCTCCATGTATTTGGTGGAATTCATGAAGGTAAGACCAGAAAAAAGGGGCTCGTGACATGTTGTGTCATCATTATCCATGATCTCATTCCACAGTGGGGACCTTAGCTATAATGGCAATAACCGAATCTGTGATTTTCAAACCCTTTGTTACCAGTGGACTTCTTTCATCAGTTAAAATGTTGGGAGAAGCACTTGCATGTAAAGCTGATACATATTTTACATGGAGCGGCTCTCTTTTAAGCAGACTAGGGAGTTGGAACCAGGTCTGGCCCACCTTACAGAAAACGCAGCACTTCCCCCCAGGCAACTTCTGCAGTCTCAGGGCCCTGATGAGGAATGTTTGATAACCATTGCTGCAGAACAGCCCTGAAGTAATAAAGAACAAATTTTCTCTTCAAGAGAGAAGAAATGGCCTGGATATTAGACTAAATAACTTCTCTGGCCTTCTCTTACTTGTAAATATTGTGTTTCGTTGGGCATGTACACAGACCCAGGAAGACAAGACATTCTTGAAAAAATAACTTTGGATATGCAGTGAAAGACATATACCAGAAGTGGCAGGGACCCACACATTTGCAGGTAGACGTTTTCTTACTACCTCAGAAAATCATTTCAGACTTCTCAGAAATCATCAGCACTGTTAGCTCCGGCTGAGGTTAAACAGAATAATTAAATCTCCCTTGAATGGTGACTGGTCCAGTTGCCATTTTCTGCCTTTCAAAGTCAGCTGGGATCGAGTTCATAGAACCAGAATGTCTCCCAGGAACCTTCAGGGCACTATGTTTTGTATGTCCTCCCATTTGCAAACCAGGGGTAACTTGGCCTCTGGACAGACCCAGAGCCCTCTTCAGTTTTCTGGCCTTGCAAGACTCTCCCAGTTCCAGACATTTGTGTGCAGTGGGTACGTTTACGTAGGCAGCCACCATATTCTCTCCAGCTCCTGCTAATAGCTGTTCTCTGAAGTTATTTATGAATCTGCAGTTGAGCTGTTTAGGCCTATGTACCTGATGAAGGAAAAAAAAAACAACGACAAAGTTTGCTTTCAAAGCCTACAAGTCTAGTGGCTTCCTAGTTAGGCGGGTAATAAAGAGCATATTGAAAATCATCCTACTCAGGCCAGAGAAAGTGAGCTTGCTCCAAGTGCAGGACCAGCTGAGCGGATGGGTAGAAAGCCGGGGCGAAGCTCCCTGAGAGTGGATGTCATCTTGCCTTGACCTTGAGTTGGAGTCCCTGAAAAGGTGGGCACCTCTCTCTAAGGCATGATACAGGATTTGGGGACGGGGGAACTCATGTCCAAACCACAGTTTAAGGGGCAGTTATCAGGTTTGAATTCCTGCGGCATACCTCTGGGTTTACATTTCATCCTTTTTTTTTTTTTAATCATTAATTAGCTTTAAACTAGCCAGACAATTGGGGAATTCCACTGAAGTCTCAAAATAATAAACTTGCTTAAAAGGGAGGAGATCATATTCAAATAAACTTGTCTCGATTGTATTCGCTTAAGACAGCTGAAGAGGGCAGAGAGAGGGCAAATACCAGCCTCCTGATGGAGAGAGATAACAAGACTTTATGACCCCAGAACTAAACAGTGCACATTTTAAATGCCTCTTTTCTTTTCTTAAGAGATTTTTCCATTGACCCTCATTAAGCTCTCCACAGGCTTACTTGGAGAAATTTTAGTAAATGGAAAGGAGAAAAAAAAAAAATCTTATCAGTTATTTCTGTAAGTCCTGGTAATTTTATTTTTTTCACAGGCATATTTTTTCTATGCCATATGAGCCTGACGCCAGCATAGAATTACAAACTCAATTGCAGAGGCTGTAAGGAAACTATAAGGTATCCAGGGAAATGTGCAAATTTACAAACATGCTGAAAATTTCAATGTATTAAAATTTATAAAAGGATCATACATACCAAAGACCCAGAGAAACTTTCTTAGCTTTCTTCCAATAGGTCACAAGAGAGTTATACTGCATATGGGAAGTATTTTTGCTTGATCCAGTATCCAGGTAAGCTTAGGAGGCAGTGTCCTATGGTGAGGTTTCTCCAAATCACTTGGACGTTTGATTACTTGACTCTTGAATGAAATGGAATTCTGCATCAAAGCCACACAATTCAAGATAAGATCACTTGTTAATTTTCATCGAGGCAGTTTAGATATTATTTCATAGTTAAGGAAGCTGAGTGAGCATCCACTCCCAATTCCCAGTGCAATACTCTTTCCTTCTTCACCCGTCCCAAAATTTACTGGGAGTTTGGCTGTGTGCATCCCCAAAGAGTTTCTTATGTTACTCATTCTGTGCCCTAGAATTCAATAGTTAACACAGGGGCTTTGAAATGAAAATCATATTTTAAAAAGGGGAAAAAAATTTTATAGTCTCACTAGTAAAGACATGACAGCCTTTTCCTGACAAATCTAGTGTTTAAATAAAGAAAAAAGAGTCCCTTGTCTTTGAAGCAGAGAATTCTCCCTTTAAAGAGAGAAAATCGGGAGGCAGCTTCTGAAAGCTGTTATAACTGGGGAGTCTCCACTGAACTTCATCTCACTACCCACCGACAAGGCTTTTGTTTTGTTTTGTTTTGTTTTGTTTTGTTTTCCTTGCCTGACAGTGCTGCATTGAGCCACTGTTATTTGTATATATTACAGTAAGCTTGACACTCTCTCCCCACAGGTTACGGCATTATGACCGACGGTTATACAACGTACATCAATGCCTCAACGTGTACAGTCAGCTTTCAACCGACCAATCCTCCAATTATATTTGACCTTCCAAACCCACAGGGTTCCTGAAGCTCTAAATGCCCAATTGGAATGTGAGGGAAGGTCTACAAACTGCCATTTTTCTAATTATAAACTTACACTCTCTTACTCATTTATTTCCAAATCCTGTGAGTTCTTTTTGTAAATTGCTGAAACATTAAAGATGCTAGAGGTTGTGCTTCTTTATTTTGTTTTTTTTTTTTTAATGGGGAATCCATTTGAAATCAGAGGTGCATTGTGAATTTGTAAAATGACTTCTGTTTTCTCAAAGGCCACGCCATTGTAAATTGTCAGTGTTCGCCAAAGGACAGCCAAGCTTTCTTTATAAAAGGTGATAAAAGTCTTATTTTAATATGCTTTAAGCTGAAAGAAGAAAGAAAGAAACAGGTAGGCAGTGTTTTAAAAACCACCCAGATTTGCACAATTGTTTAAGAGTTTTGTTTGAACTATTTTATTTTTTGATGTTGTGTTGTCGTTGTCTTGATAATGCTTCTTTTTCGCAGATGTGGCCCGGATTTATGGTAATCTTTTCGATAAAAGTAGGCGTGGAAAAAGACTTCCCTTCACACTCTCACTATAAAGAAAGTTCTGTCAAGGGAAGAAAACAACCTTCGTTTAAAGGATGGCTTAGCTAGTGAGATCCATATTGTGGTTATACAAACTCTCATCGTTTGTTTGTTCCTTTTAAATTATTTTAGCTTTAAAAATATGGAAATGGAATCTGTCAAGAGCAAGTATTTCATGCAGTAAAAAAAGGAGTGTGCAGACTCCTTTTCAAAATGGGTTTATATATATAAATATTTTTTGTGTATTATGACTAAGTTAGGAGTTTAATATTGCCAAGGACAGTTCAACTGCAAAGGGATGCTGTATAGCAGGACATCGGACGTCCAAAGGAGGTGACACATTTTCTCAGAACTCAAGGTCTTAAAGAGCTTGAGATAAATCTAGGTACAGTTACAGGCGTGTATAGACTTAAATGGATGCAATGGAAGCTAACTAAAATAAGGCTTAGTTGTCCTTTATATTTAAATACCCTGAATTGTCTTCTCACTTCCTCCCCCCGCCCCATTTTGCACTGTGTGTCGATGCAATCTTCGCTAGCACAAAATATTGTCGCTAATAGTCATTTCTGTTTTCCCATTGTAAATGCTGTTGAGCTTTATTCTATTTTATGTTATCTTGTTAATGAAATTTAGGAAAGCAGTTGTTTCTTTAAATTTATTGTGATATTCTATATCTAGCGGCCTTTATATGCAAATAAAATTGCAAGATTTTTAAATTTGTGCTGTTTCGAGGGTTGGCTGGTGAGAGGACAGTGATTCAGCCCTGGGAAAGGAGGGGGACATTATTCATATGAAACATCAGTACTCCCTTTCAGAAGACTTAGAATAAGTGACTTTTTTTTTTCTAATTTTCAATAAAATTTTATTACCCCCTGTTCTCGGGCTGGCAGGTAGATCGATAAGGCACTCAGTGTACTCTTTTGTTTCCATCATGCTGTCATTTATCTTGCCATAGATTTCAGAGGGTAAAGATTTCATCTTTGGCCATTGCCATTTCTATCGGGACAGAGTGACCGTGCAGTGGAGGCTGGAGGCTCTATCATAGATGTGTGTGTGCCAGTGGGAAGGTGGACCAGTGAGTAATAGAGTCACCACGACACAGTCTCATTTGTCCCCAGGGGCAGTTATCTCTCCCTCACTGTTTTTTCTAATGATGTGCACCACTGAAGTGCTGGAGCAGCCAGGAGGCAGAAGGCAGTGGGATGGGGAAAACTATGTTCTGTCTGTTTTAATTTCTCCGGAAGAGCCATTGAAGAAAAACAGCATGATCTTGAATCTGCAGTTCATCCCAAGAGTCTATATTCCAGTGCTGGTTGGACCATATTTACACACATCTTCCTTCCTTCCTACCCATTGTAGATTCTTTGCTGTAATTCCAGAAGAGAATTCTTGATTTCAGTACCAGCAGAATAGAAAGATTGTTCTAGGCCAGAATTCTAGCTCAGACTTGTATGTAATCATCTTGGGTCATTGCCATCGTAGTTGTTAATATTTATTAAGTGTCTCAGCTGCCACCCAGAGCCTGTGGTAGACACTTTGTCTGAGTTTGCAGAGCAGATGCTCCAGCTTCCCAGCCACAGGTGGTCCATGACAAGAGTAGCTAAGACATCCTGTGAGAAGTTAACAACCCCCCTCTGACCTGCTACATCAGCAGAAGAGGCTGTCGACTTCGGGCCCATTCCTAGGGAACTGGAGTGAGAGATCGACTGAATGAAAACTCCATCTATTTACTGTTCAAGGAGCTGGGCTCGGACTTCTGGAAAAGCAGGTTTCCAGAGACAAGTGGCTGATCATGATGAAAAGTGTGTGTGTATAGCCCTTGGAAGTACATGTGGACACAAACTAGTTAAGCTTAGCACTTACTAAATTGCTTTCTATTGTGTAGGGGTGGGAAGCAGCCCAGTCTGCAGAACCTACAGGGCAGACTGGCTCATGGACAGCGCATCCTTCAGCTCGTCCACGTTCACAACTTTATTTGCATGAATTGCCTCCAGAGGGGCCAGGATGACTCTCCAAAGGCCTGACGCTCTCTCCACTGGGCCTTATAACAAGGAAGCATTTGAAATAGCTCTTACAGAATGAGCACTTTCTATCTTTCCATCACCAGGCACTATTCTGAGCAGGTCTCATATTTTGTTTCTAATCCTCACAAAATGCTGAAAGAGGTTATTATATAAGCCCCACTTTATAAATGGGTAACTAAGGTTCCAAAAGTTGAATAAGATAATGAAAGGTTCAAAACCAGGTCTATCCGACTCCATAACTCATGCCCTTTTAATCACCCTGTCTCTGCAGCAGATAAGAGCTGATATAAAACTGATGAGGACCTGAGGATATTTCCTGTCTCTCATGCAGGAGCTGCTGGAGCACCCTGCAGCGTGGCTTTATGACATCACATCAGACCACCTGCTCTCTGCTTGCTGCACAGCACAGCACGGTGGATAAAAGCACAGAGCCTAGAGCCAGTGTGCAGGCTAATCCTGGCTCCACCTTGAACTAGCACAGCTGCTTTGGGCTGGGTACTCACCATCTCTGTAAAATAGAGGTGATGATAAAGTTGTCATAAGTTGTTATATGAGTTAATATTTAGAGATCACTGCATGGCATCCAGCCAGTGGTGCACGTGTGTTTGTTAATAGATTGCCTCATGCTGCCTTGAGATTCTCCAGGAGGGACCTGTTTCTTGACTCCTCACCCTCAAGAGCACAATGGCATTGTGTCTGGGAAAAAAAAAAAGTGTTTATTTGTATTCCTTGGAAACTGTAACCTTTCTTCATAAAAATATGAAAAACCCCACAGGCATTTGCAAGAGGCAGATAAGAGAGTCCGACTTTTCAGTTTGGGGATCATATTTTGCAAACTCCCTCTAATCTCAGCATTGGAAGGAGTCTGTCCTCAATGATGTTGTTTTAAATGGCACCCTTGGGTCTCAGCATCTCTCCATCCTTGGAGTCTTTACCTTCCACTTCACCATCTCCTTTAAGCTTAATTGGTGAATTTTTTTTTCTTTACATTTTCTCTCAAGCTCCTTTTGTTTTATAAAGATGTAGGGGAGGGTGGCCATCGCTGAAATCCCCTTAAGAGGCAGGTCACTGTTATTCTGACAGGTGGCCAGCATTAAGCCTGCCTTCATCTCCATCACTTATGTAAATAAATACTGTGACCCAGGTCTTAAGGAGGGAGAAACAGAAGCTTGGAGGATTTGGGATTTGTCAATTGCAGATAAAACACTTGCCGTGACCGGAAAGTAATGCCCCCCTCATCCAGCAAGGAAATGCTGCTTCTGCTTCAACAGAGTTGACATTCACATATTATTTTGGTTTACCAGTATCTTTCCATGCCCTAGTCTCACTTTCCTACAAGTTTTAAGGTCTTTTTTGTTTAATTATTAAACCCAAGTGATTTAAGGTCTACTTTGTTTTGAGAATTTGACTATGAGCCGAGACATTCAGAAACACTGCCGAGCTTCGGGCAGGGGGCTGTTGTAGGGGTTGAGGGTTCCAGGAGTGGACGGTCTTTACTTCTCTTGGTCTTAATGGGTGATTTCACAGAAGGCTTCAGGCTCATCTCTGGATGTCAGCGTCTTAATGCAAAACGTTTTTTCTCCAGCAGTAGCAGGATTACTGCATGTGTGCCCACTCTGTAGTATGGCACTTTCAAAAGTTTAGGACTGCTTTCTCTTCTTTTTTAAGATGTCATCTCTCCCTTTCTGTTCCTATCCTGCCTTCCCATGGAAGAGAAAACCGTACCGATTCAAAAGCCTCTCTGAGAAGCCTCCTTCTTTCTTGGTGCCCATGTAAAGTCAGCTTCTGCAGCTCATGAGAAGTGCAGAGAGGGTCATTGTCACCACCATGGTCACACAGCAGATCAAGGAGATAGTCCCCCGTTGGCATTTGGACTCTTAAGTTTTGAGCATGAACTGCTTTTTCAGTTTGACATTCAGGAATAACTGGATGGAAAGCTCACTTTGCCCAGACATACTATGATTTTGTAGCCGAAAACAAGCCACTTATCTTTGTCTTATTATTATTATTAAACCAAATTTTTTGAGAGAAACCTCAAAACCTGACCTCCTCCGAGTATTCCCACGAATGTTCACTTTCTTTCCCTTCAACCATGTACAACAACTCTGATGGGCACCCAGTTCCTCCTCTTAAAGGAGAGATAGATGTGTGGTCTCTGCTTTATCTACCTCCGAATTTTGACAGCTCTTCATCATGTGTTTTAACATACATGTACGTCCAGTCTGGAAGACATTGGGTGTCAATATGAGCCCCTGACTTTGGAATCAAGCATATTTGTTTTCAAATCCCGTTTATTGTCGGGAAATTTTGGATGTGCTGCTTTCTCTCAGCTTCAGACCCCACACCTGTATAATAGGGATAGTTCCCACCTCACAATGGATTTGTCAGAGTTGATACGATAATATCAGTAGGGTCTTGGGCCCGGTGAGCTATTATAAGTAGAAGATTTTATTATGCTGTAAATTCATAATTTTTTAAAGGGGAAAAAATGGCAAAAAGAAACATGTAGTTTATTTTTTATGTTAGAGCCCTCCACAAGAGAAAGTGAATTCCTTGAACTAGACTGAGTCTGGGTAATAGAGTTGCAAACCCAAGCCAAACATAAATTGAGCTCTTTAAATTCCTGTCTCTCTCTCTCTGTTTGAACTACCTGACAAAACATTTGTGGTGGGTTCTTCTCGACTCCTTCTTGTTTCCTTCCTGAATTAGGGATGCCTTACAAGACAAAGATCTTGAGGTAAATGGCCTTTTATATCCGAGAACATCTATATCTGGATAATGGTGAGAGTGAGAAATGCATCTCCATTAAGAAGCACAGCCACAGTGGTACTAAAAGCACGAGTAGACTAAACACACGAAGGCAGAGAGCCTGCTCCCATCAATCAGCTTTGATTTTTATGAAGCCACAGTTACCATGAGGTGCATCCGAATGCTCTCAGAGCCTGCTTACCAAGAGAAAGAAAGGCCTGTGATTTCATAGCCCATTTCTGCCATGACCTTAGTAGATGACCTTGGCAATAGGTTGAGCTTTTCAGTAGAAACTCCTAAGATAGCAAGTAATTTGGAACCCTAATTCTCCATGCTTAGGCTTACCAACGTGCCCTCATATACACCTGCTATAATGCTTAGTTAACAACAACTTAATCTTAAAGGGAGTCGTACTTCCTCGAAGCCTTCTCTGAATCTGCCTACCCATACCCAGAACATTCACCTTTGGTGCTGCCTTAGGGCACCGCCCCCCATACTTCTACCTGCACCACTTTCTGATTGTTGCTTATCTGTGTGAGCTGAGGTCAATGACCAGGTCTTCTGTCTCTGCGTTCCCAGCATCTAGGTCCCAAGAAATGCTTTCTTAATGAGTTAATCATTGTTCGGCAGAGATAGCCAGGTATTTGAAAAAGGAGAAACTAATCACAGATGAAATCAACAAATATTTGCTTAACACTATAAGCCCAGTTCTAAACTAGTAAGTTTCATTTGGAAGACCCAGATTTTGCCAAGAAAGATCTGTATAACTTGGTGAAGAAAACAAGATATTGTCACATGAAGTTAAATAGCACTAAGGGACTTAAATACTAGTTCAAGACAGCAGTTAAAGAAAGTCGGGGTCTCTGTTATACAGATTTCTTCAGTATGTGAGTAGCCATCATGGGGAAGTACATGCTGGGGGTATAAGGCTCAGACAAGCATAG